CTAGTAGTAAAGATTATATGAAATCTTTGGCCAGATGAGAAGTTATCATTCTTTTCCAGAGCCACAATTTGCTTCATATATCGTGGCCGTTGGTGTTTTATAGATTTAAAAAAGATTGCTCCGTCGAGGCAGAAGCCCGAAGACGGCATTGAACTCATAGTGTGTCGCCGGTGGATGCAGGAGGAGAAAACTTTGACACCACCAAGGACCTTTTGAAAAAAAACACAAAAATAAGGTGAAATTCTTCGATGCACGAAGCGAACTACAGTGCCACACTATTAAAAAGAGACAGCTTTGAGTTTTCAATTTGAGCAGTGTAGCAGCCACAGTACCCAGGCGGGACCTGAATATCTTTGCTATGATGCAGTCTAGAGTCTAGACAAGAGCAATGCAGAAATATGCCGGCTGATGATGGTTATCTGATGAGGTCATATTATTATCCTGAAGAACTGACGAGCACAAGTGGGCCAAGAATTCAACAAAAAACTTCCCTGACAGATTCCATCAGATGGACATTTGACCCTACCATGCTTTGTCCAGTAGTTCAATGATGAGTCAGGAAGCCCTAAGAAGGATCCAGGAGCTGATCTCGAGCTCATCTGCTCCCAGATGAACAGTAAATTCAATGGCTTTTTTACACTAAAGATGATGAAATTTTCTGTAGTTTGCAAAAAATCATGCCGAGAAGTCGCTGAAAAGCAAAATCAGAGCTCCCCCGAAGTCATCTCGGCACAAAAATTTACAAGCTCCTAGAAATTATCATCATATTTTTAGTGTAAAACAAATTCAGACTTTATTTTTATTTTTTACCATTTGTTTCGGATTCATTGTTCATACACAGGGAGCAAAGGATCTCGGGTGGAGAAACGCCGCTCTGTTCTCCCAGAAACACAATACGGCATCAACTTCTCATCCGTAAACTTGCCCCCAAAAAAGAACTTCTCATCTGTCAATATAGATTATCATCTGATAGTTAGTTGCAAAGGATTCCCTCAAAAAAAATGTTGCAAATGAGCTCAAATACAGTAAAAACAAGTAGAAGTTTTCTCAAGAGAATGAATTAATTGAATAGAGAAGGCAAGCCTTCTTTGGGAGAATTGTCATTACACAAGTGTTGATGCAAAGATATACAATTCACATTCTTTCGACATAATTTCTGCAGGTGACAAAACAGTTTACCCGATGCCTCTCATGTCACCTGTAGCCCAATATTCACTCGTCTGCTACATCTGGCACCTGCCTCTCATGTCACCTGGAGCCCAATATTCATTCATCTGTGCTACATCTGGCACCTCCGATTCCCCAACATTTTGCTTATAATCTCTTCAAGCTCTTCTTCCTGGCGTCCATCTTCTTCTTATCAGCTGGGCCTTTTGTAGCAACAGGTCCTTCCTTCTTGGGCAATGCCGTAGATGGTCCAACAGTGGGCTCAGCGGGAGCATTCTGATCCAGCGAGTTTGAGCCTGGCACTTTGGTAGCAGCAGTAGCACATAAAGCCATGGGAGCCGATGGTGCAATTTCGCATAGATTTGTTGTGCTTGACTGATCCACGTTTACAGAAGTCGACTCGGAGATAGTGCCACTCTTGGGCTTAGTCTTAGGTTTGAGGGCATGAATGCTGGTGTATAACCTGCATATAGTGCAGTGTAGACAGTTAATAAGTGTTCTGATTTTTAAAAAGCTATAGCAATGGCATAAGAAGAAAAAACATCACATCCATAGTCACCTAGACAGGCACAATACTCTAAATTTTGACCAAGCAGAAAGAAAAACTCAAAAAGGGACCCCCCATATAAAGTGAAGGCAGATAGAGATGTCTGCTAGGTGTCCCTAGTCTATATTGACAAAGTGATACACTGATGCTCGATAAAAAGTCAAAAGGTAACCTTGCATGCCGAGCATAGTCTGCATAGTTCTCAAGTAACATCTTTCCAGCCTGCTCATTGAGCGCAGATTCTGGGAATGGTTCAATCAGTAGGCATCTCACCACCTTTTAGAATGTTAAAAAGAAACCGACAGTTATTAATCGATAATTACAGTTGATGTATGTATTACCCCTAGCAAAACTAGGGCCAAACATTGTTGTAGTATGTACTTACCAGTAGAACATGCCTTAATCCATGAGTAGGATTCCAATCCTTTTTCAACGTGTTAACGCAGATCTCACCACTGCTTGATATGTTTGGATGGAATATTTTGGTCACAAAAAATCCTAAAAAGTGAAGGACAAGTTAAATATTTACCAAGAAATAATCAAGTTGATGCATCTTCTCAGGCTTTCATTTCATGAGCACTTGAGCAGAAAAAATAAATGGCGCGCAAAAGATAGCCAGACCTTTCGGTGGGGATTGAGGGAAGTCACGGGACAAGACTAGCTTCATCCGGAAAACCCCATTCTCATACGGAGTCCCGCCTGCATCATCTCCAATATCCATTTTCCATTAAACAGTATAATGAAGAAGTAAAAAAATTACAAATTCAGATTATGACATAATTCTTTACAAAATGAACAAATTTTTCAGTATTCAGTTATGAACACTAGCAGCATATGAAAAACACATGGAAAAATTATAACAAAAGAGGGAAACATCTTGATTTTTTTAGTGTTTATAAGCCATTTTAGTGTTTATAAGCCATCAAAACCTATTAATTGTAACATTACCAGGGCCATCTATATCTGCACAAATACTTGTGAAGTCATCGTCATTCACAATCACTCTAATCCCTTCTGGAGGTGACTGGTCAAGATTCTTCAATTCTTTAGCCAATTGCCTGATGACATTTGGTGGGAGGTTTTCGTTGGTTGCCTTCATAAACATGAACATTCCACATTAAAATCATGTTAACAGCACATCTTCCTAGCAGAATGTTGTCATGAACATCAAAACATTTGCCATGAAAAATGAACTGTAATAATCACCATGGAAGCAAGATGGCAAATAGCTTTGTTCTGGCTTCGCAAGCAACTTTAGTGAGCAGATGTTCTTCCACAATAGTGATAAATTTCTGATAACAGATGCAGCCTACAGGAAACAGCAGTTAGTGTCATGGTTGGCAAACGATGCCAAGAGATCAAAAGCAAGCGTATTAGAATGAGTTACTTTATAATATGTCTGAAGCCCAAGAGACTATACTTACAATTTTCAAATTTCATATGGAAGATATTATGAGCAACAATTATTATGCTTAATTTCACACATGGCTTCTGCAAACATTTCTCAAATTCTAAGGCATACAAATAAATGCCGAAAGGCTGAAAGGTACGAGTGGGTGGAATCTACATTCAAACGAGAGGGGTATTTTTCTTCTAAGATTTTTGGGAGAAAATTTTCAATAGCTCTCTTTGTATGTTTGCCTGTTGTCTGTTACTTTTGTTACATGTGGTGACTAGCAAAGTTAATATTTTCAACCTACAAGTATTGGGTTTGACCACACAGACGTTGTTTTCCACTTTCCACAAAACATGGCTAGTTTGATTTAAGCATCCATACTGTAATATCCATTCCTAAAAGAGCATTGTTTTTAACCACACATGTTTCTATCTTAATAAAACATTCTGTTTTCACTTATTTAGATACAGTTTTTTTCTCCAGATGACCTTTGAAAATCAAGTATCTACTGTTGCGGCTTGACGACAATCTAAAGAACAAATTGCACTGCCAAAATAATTCTGTAGGACTTGGATTGTATGCACGAATGGCTAGACATTGATCATAGCATCACATTCACATGTGCCTTCTTTGATTTAAATGACTTCCTAACTAAATAGTGCCTGACTGGTGATGCACATCATGCCATTAGCAGTTTAGCTGTCTAATTCATGCCATTGGCAGTTTAGCTGTCTAATCCCACATACATAGGACCCAAACCCTAGGGTTATTTCTCAAACTTTACGCCGCCATCACGATCAGTGATTGAGGAAAGGGGAACCAACATAGCAATTAGCTTCAGGCTCCAATGCAGTAACAAGCATAATGGCAAGAGCGCACAGATCATATTAGCCATCTTTGCATTGTTTAGGAAGCGATTAAATCATAAAACTGGTAGGTAATCAGTGCAGCTGACTGTGTGGCGTTTCGATTGAACTAAGCACAAGGTACTATGCTTGCAGGTGAAGACTACTTGCACCCAGAGTTAAGTTGCTTGCACTTTCGTTAACCCGGTTCTTCTTTCCATGGACATCTAAAGATCAGAAGCAGAACTCCCCACTAAAACCATCAATTCCCCCGGCCTCTCGGTTTGTGAGCATTGTTTCTGCAGGCTGCAACTAACATATCAGACTCGCATGAACCACAAAGCAAGTCTGTCCAGACTCAAGCTCTCTCCCCAAGAAACCCGTGCCATACCAAGTAGCTCGACTTCTTACAGATCGCCGCCCCCTACCATGTGGTTCTACAAAAGTACGCGTCTATTTGCACACACGAATACCAATCGAGAACAATACCGCGAACTCCCACTAGAAATCTCGAACCACTCGTCGCCTCGCTTGACAGAACGGGCAAAACCCCGCCACCCGCCTGCTTTCTCTGCACAATCCGCCGAGACAATCCAAAATCACCACTCGCCCAGACTCCAAGCCCCCCAAAAATCGACCCCGACATCCGCCAACCCTACCGCGGATCGAACTGAACCAGCAGATCACGAGCAGGCAACGCACGCGAGAGCCACGAAACGGCCCGGAACAGATCGGCTCAAACCGCAGCGAGAGACGAACCGGGGGAGGGATCGGCGGGCCGCCGCTTACCGGAGGAGGAGGGGGAGGAGCGGCCAATCTGGGTCGGAGTCGCGGGGAGGGGAGCGGAGCGGCGCGCGTCGCAATGATTGGAGCGCGAGCCCGTGGAATTTGGGGGCGGAGGGGGTGACGTGGCTTTCAACCAGGCCACGGAGCGGGTGTACTTGTAGGGGGTCGCCACCGGATCACCGCGTCCGCGGGGGAGCGCGGGTGTGGGGCCCTGGAGCGTGAGACCGTGAACGGTCGGCGGCATAGCCGTTGGAGCCGTGCCACGGCGCCGCCAGCTAGGCGCGCACTTTTGAAATTATGGCAGCTGCGGCCAGCGGGGACGGAGATGCCGATGCGCGATGAGTCATCGGGATCGCTGATCGGCTGTGGACCACCGATCAGATTGTGGAAGGAAACGGCGGTAAGACGACGAACGGGGTTGATTGATTGATGAGAGCGGCGCCTGTTGTGTTGAGTTGTTGGCAGATTCTGAATTGAATTTGCCTCTCGACGTGGATCGCCGGGTGGTCATGGACCGTTTATCTCTGCTGGTAATGTCTCATTACGTAGCTTCCCTTCACGGTTTAATTTCGTCTGATTTATTTTTATTCGGCTTTTTTCGTCTCACCTCCCATCACTCTCCCTCTGCCCTTGCCCACCACTCCGGTTCTCCTTTCTTGTGTGTAATCCTCTTATCTTTTCTGGGTTATTTTGTGTGCTTTCCGTGAGAATAGAGCGTAGCTTGGTTGGCAAGGCGCGGTAGTTTGCAGCTAGCCCACCAGGGTTTGAGTCTTGACTCAGACGCTTGGTGCTCATGGAGTTTTTTTCTTTTATTAAAATAAAAAAATGACAACAGGCTAGTCTAGTCCGGGTTAGTCTCGTTTTTTGTGTGCGTTTCCTGTTGAACGTGTGTATACGTATGTAGGTCCGGATTTTGTATGCCACACCTGTAGTGTCTCTTCCTTTATATTTATATGTATCTTGGGAGATAAGACACCGGTCACACCTCTTGCATCTATATATGTGGCTAGTGCACGATCAATGAGAATATCGATGCACACAATCCCTTCTACATGGTATCATATACCCTCACGATTCTCTCCTAATCACTTCCGCCTACCCTAACCGCCGCCGCCATCTGTTGCCACCGCCGCTATCCCCTCCCCGCGCCGCTGCCCCCCTCCCCGCCGCCGCACCGCCCCTCTCACAGTCGCCGCGCCGCGCCATCCCTCTCCAACCCTAGCCGTCGCCACTCCTCCTCGTCACCGCGTTGTCGCCATGTCCTCCAACGCCTCCACCTACTCCAACCCCTTCGCCGGGCCGGACCCCGCTGGCATCCGCGACATCAACATCCACAAAAACGCCCCCGTCGTCCTCGATGCCATCGACTCCACGTACTTCGTGTGGAAGACGTATTTTCGCTCCTCTTCCACGAGAACAATCTCGTGGATCATGTTGACGACACCGTCGATTCTCACGCCATGGTGGGCGACTCCGAGTGGACCGCGATCGACGCTACGCTCATTCGATGGTTCTTCACCACCATCTCCAAGGACCTGTTTCACACGGTCGTGAGCGATGGTGATGACGCCCGCGCTGTGTGGGTCAAGCTCAACGGCCTCTTCACCGACAACAAGCTTCAGCGCTGCGTTTTTCTGCAGCAGGAATTTTTTGACTGTCATCAGGATGAACAGTCCATCAATGACTATTGTCGCCGCCTGAAGACATTGGCGGATGAACTCCATGGCATTGGCGCCAAGTTTGATGACGACCTCCTCCTCAGCACTTACCGCCGGCCTCAACGAGGACTTCGGCAACGCCGCCTCCAACCTCACCTTGATGTCGGAGCCCTCCTTTTCCAAGTTCGTGGCGTACTTGCGGTTGGAGGAGCGCCGGATGAAAGGGGTGAAGAAGCGTGTGCAGCACCACGCCCTCGCCGCCGGCACCTCTCGTGGCGCACCGCCGCCAACCACCCCGTCTGCGTCCCGGCAGCAGCAGCCGCCCCGCGCCCACGAGGTTCTTCCCCTCCCGTCCGTGCCCCTCGCCCCTCCCGCTACCCCCAGCAGCAGCTGCAGGGTGGCGGCGCGCGGGGGTGGGCGCAAGCAGCAGCAGTAGGCAAACGAGGAGGCCCCTCGTCAGCAGCAGGACACCCCACCGTGGACCTACAGTACCAACCCATGGACGGGTGTCGTTCACGCATACTCGATGCCGGTTCCTCGGCCTCCCGCCCCGGGCATCCTTGGGCCCCGTCCGGCGAGCCATCAAGCGTACCTCGCCACGCCCGGCGCCGCCCGCTACCCGGCCCTCCCTGCATCGCCGGCCACGGGCGGCTATGGCCCTGCCCTCGCGCCTCCTTATGGTGGGTTCTACCCGCCCCAGGTGCCGCCGTCGTAGGATCCTGCCCTTCTCGCCGCCCTGCACTCGGCTCCATCACCTAGCAACTATGGTGGCGGCGGTGACTGGTACATGGACTCGGGCGCCACTGCTCACATGACAGCTCATCCCGGTAACCTCATGTTTTCCACTCTCGTTCATACTCCCACTCGCATCACCGTTGGTAACAGTTCCTCTTTACCCATTACACATGTCAGTCATATGTCGTTTCCTTCCACCTCTACTCCTATTAACATGTCGAATGTTCTCGTCTCTCCTGACTTAGTCACCAACCTTGTTTCTGTCCGTCGCCTTGCTCGTGAGAATCCTATTTCTATTGAATTTGACGATGTTGGCTTTTCTGTGAAGGATGCCCGTACACGGATGGTACTCCACCGATGTGATAGCCACGACAAGCTCTACCCGGTGCATCCTTTCGCCGCCACCGCCACCCGTCTACCCGCCGTTGCCGCTAGCGTCGACCTTTCGCATGCCCGGCTCGGTCACCTCAACTCCGCAGTTTTGCGTCAAATTCTTCAGAGTTTTTCATTCTCATGTAATAAGGTTGACAACCACAGTTCTGAGGCTTGCCGTCTCGGCAAGCACATTCGTCTTCCCTTTAGCGAGTCTACACACATTTCCACTTTTCTGTTTCAGTTATTGCATAGTGATGTTTGGATGTCCCCGGTTGCAAGCAACACGGGTTATCTATACTATTTGGTGATATTGGATGATATTTCCCATTATGTGTGGACATTTCCTCTCCATCGCAAGTCTGACGCTCTTGCCACACTCATCGCTTTTTACTCCTAGGTCACCACATAGTTTGGTCGTCCCATCCTTGCCCTACAAACTGACAACGGAAAAGAGTTTGACAACGTTGTTGTCCGTAACCTTCTCGCTTCTCATGGCACCATTTTTTGCCTCACTTGTCCTTACACGTCCCATCAAAATGGTCGCGCCGAGCGCGTCATTCGCACTCTTAACGACTGAGTCTGCACGTTGCTCTTCCACTCCAACGTGCCTCCTCGGTTCTGGCCGGATGCTCTTGCCACGACCAGTCTCCTCGTTAACATCCGGTCGTGTCGTCCTCGCTGGAACTATGCTCCTCACCAATTCCTCTTTGGTGTGGCTCCATCTTATGATGGTCGTCGCATTTTTGGGTGTCTCTGTTATCCTAGCACCGCGTCCACCACTCCTCACAAACTCTCGCCCCCCGGTCGGTTCCTTGCACCTTTCTTGGTTACCCTCCCAACACCAAAGGTTACCGGTGCTATGATCCAGTGTCCCACCGTGTTTATACATCGCAACACGTGTACTTTGATGAGTTGGTGTTCCCGTTTCAGTCGGTACCATCCCCCTCGGCGCTTCCTACGGCGCGGCTCGCCCCTGCCACCACCTACGGCGAGCCGCACCCTTCGCTGAGCCGAGCCCTGCGCCTGGCCCTGCCCGCGCTCCCCGCATCGGCCGCCCCCTCCCACCGTGTGCCGGCTGCCCCCACCCGTGGTGCTTCGGGTGTGGCTGCCCCGTCAGGTGCCACCGCCGCCGCGGCCTCTGGCGCCCATTCGGGTGAGGCCGCCCCATCGGGTGCCCCCACCGACTCGGCCTTGGGCGCCCCCTCGGGTACCCCCGAGAGTGCTCCCTTCGCCGCGGCCTCCGACGCCCCCTCGGGTGCCCCCTCGTGTGTTCTCGTCACAGACCCCTCGGAGTCATCGGAGACCGGGTCGACCTCCTCCTCGTCGGTCTCCCCCTCGGCTCCGCCGGCGGTGGTTGCACCCGTCACTGGTGTCGTCACTCGGGCTTGGACTGGGACATTTCATCCTAGCACGCGCTACACCTTCGACAAGTACGTGTTTGCCATGTCTACTGATAACCCACAAGTATTGGGAATCGCAACAGTTTTCGAGGGTAG